CTCTGCTCACCGCCGCGCACCGAGCCAGGCACAGGTCTAGCGAGCCTGCGTACGCCGGACGCGCGTACGTCAGCGTGCGTGCCTGCGTCAGAGTTTGCAGGTGCCGTCCTGCGCGCACAATCGCTCGCGGGGCGTGGGGGCGTGTCCGTTCTCCTGAACCTCGGAGGGGACCCCCCCCGGAGGGCGGGGCCTGCAACGCAGCCTTCCCAGGATCGTGAGGCCGGACTCGAGGTGTGGTCGTCCTTCCCTGACCACGACTTGATGGCTTGCAGGAATCCGGAGATGGGAGGGGGTTCGATGACCCTTGAATGCGTCAGTAAATTTGGGGGCTTGCAAAATCGTGGCCCGTCACAATGTCTTTATATTCAGATTGAGAATGTAAATCGACCCCATTAAAGCTAGGTGTACCATCAGAAAGTTTTTTCCCCTGACAGCTTGAGATGCTGAGAAGTGCATTGAAGAACTGTATGTAGCATTCACTTTTAAATGCTCATTGGTTTTCCAGCTCTGTTGCATTGGGATGTGTTTCATTGTCTTCCTGTTTGCAACTTTGTTTTTTTTTTTTTTTACTAGAAAAGCTCAAAACCTTGAAGTTTGGTGCTTCGATTGTTGATTTTGATTACAATTTCTTGAACTTGCTGAGCCTGTAATCCCAGTACCCTTGGAGGTGAGGCAGGAGGCTCACTAATTCGAGCTCAACCTGTGCAATTTAGAGACCTAGCAAGACTGTCTCAAAATAAAAATGGGCCGGGGATGTAGTTCAATGTAATGGTTAAATCCCCAGTGCCACCCAAAATCTAAAGCAAAACCAACAAACCAATACCCCATCCCCATATATAAGCTAAATTTACACCGCAGAAAAGGGAATAAAACCACTGTACCAAAGATGCGCAGCCTTCTCTCTACAATCTGGAGCAATTTCTACAATCTCCCAGCCTGTATTTCCCAGACCTTTCATGTATGTGCTGGCTCTGATGGGTCCCCCAAATGGCCTGCTGCCACGAAGGCTTGGTTGCTAATGGACTTTTGGGGAAGTGATTGCATTGTAAAGGCTCTAACTTCATCCATGGGTGAACCCACTGACGAGGTCATAATTTGACAGGTGTTGGAAACCGGAGTAGGGGCTCATTGAAGGGAGTGGACTATGGAGCGTGACCTGGGGGACTCCATTTGGTTCCCAGCCTCTTCCCCTCTGGCGCTTGCACCCCCCCCCCGCCATTTCTGGCTGCCATGGAGTGAGCACCTTCCCTCTGCCAGGCCCTTCCTCTCCGATGTTTCTACCTTGGAGCCAGCATTCCATGGACTGAAACCTCTGAAACCGTGAACCAGAATAAATCCTTTCTCCTTTAAGTGCTTTATGTCAGGTATTTGACCAAAGCAACAAAAAGCTAACACAATGCTTACCCTAGAATTTCCTTGGGGCTTCCTGTGTCTCAAAGGACATAGAATAGGCACAACTCAAGTTGTGCAGCAGCAGCAGGACCTCACTGTGAATATTCAGTAAACAACAGTATTGAAATTAGGTGAGAATTATCTTCTTCAGAGATCTGGTCATCACATGTCTCAGGTCTGGTGATGTTATTTTACTAACCTGTTTATCATGACTTACAGTCTTATGCCTATATAGTCTATTTATATATTCTAAAATCATTTGATTATGAACTCCCATCTGTTGGAATAATTGAAAACCTATTGTCTTTGACACTTTCATCTTCTTTATATAAGTCAGTTTATCTACTTCAAGGGATAGTCAGTCCAACTCAAAGTGGATTAAGAGAAAGGGTATAAAGAATTTCATGTGGGCTTCAGGTGCAACTCGATCAAGGGGCCCAAATGAGAGACACCAGCATGATCCAGTTCTTTCAGCTCTGCTCTTCTGTGCTTGGCTCTTCCTCCCATAGGCCATTGGCTTACAGTGCTAAAATGGCTGCAACTGCTCTACCCCACATCCTCCCAGGGACCCAGTCCTACTAAGGAAGGAAGCCTGAGTCTCAATGATTCTCTTCGGCTCTGTCAGGTAAACCTTCCCAATTAGGAGAACGTGAAGCTTTGACCAAGTAGGCCTGGTTTTACACGCTCTTCGCAGGTGGCAATCTAATTGTGTTGGAGCACTCCTTGAAACCTTCCATTGCTGTGACGGATACCTAAGATCATTAAATTATAAGGAGGAAAGGTTTACTGTGGCTTGTGGTTCTAGAGGTTTCAGTCTGACTCTCTTCTTGCTTTGGGCTTGAGGCGCCCAATCCATCATGGTGGGGAGGATGTGGGAGGAGAGACCTGTTCACCTCAGGGTCGTTTGGGAAGCAGAGAGAGAGGAAGTGGTCAGGGCCCCAATATCCCCTTTCTTAACCCAACTTCTTCCTGCTAGGCCCCCCCTCCGACATCTCCACTGCTCCCCAAGAGTGTCCTTGGGGACCGCCTTCAACTAGTAGGCCTTTGGAGAACATTCCAGAATGTTCCAGACCACAGATCCAAACTCCAGTGGACAGTGAGAGAGCCCCAGCTCCGAGGTTCTATACAGTGCTGCCCTGCAGACCTCCCAGCCTACTCTGGCCGCACTGCCCCTCGCTGTGGTCCTCACCAGCCTTCAGCTTCTGCCGTACCTCTCACTGTTCCAGGGCCCTTTCTGCCACCTTGACTCTTCTACGCCCTCTGCAGCTCTCTGCTAAAAGGCTCCCTCCCTCAAGAGCCGTTGAATGTGTGCGTCAAATGCCTGTGAGATCCCCCAGATCCCTCTGAAACCCCTCTCGGAGAAGAGAGAGAAAATGGAAGGAAAAGAAGCAGAGGAGGAGGAGGAAGAGGAGGGGGAGAGAAGCGGGAGGGAGAAGGAGAAGAGCCTTTTCCTCTGAACGTCACAAGCCCAGGCTGACCTCAGGTCCCTGGAAGCTTTCTGTGCTGAGGCCGCTTCTAGGAAATGCAGTTTCTCATATACCATGGAGCTGACACCCATGATGTTATAACTGCTCTACTGCTCGCCGCTCTTTGTCATCCTTTGAAATGCCTGACACGGACCGAGGCCAAGGCGGCTCTTCATGCAGGTGATTAGGCAGCGGCACTGCCGGTCATAGACTGCATTGTTTCACCTTCCAGGTACTTTCAAGGAAAATAATTGTAGTGAGTTGGATGTTTATAATTACCATGCTTAGGACCTCTCATCAGCTACGACTGTATCTTTAATGAAATGATGTGTTTAGTTTTTTTGTTTTTAAGAGTTAAAGGTGTGACATTATAGGATGATGGAACTTTTTTCTTTTTGCATACTGGGGATTGAACTCAGGGCTTTCGTACTAAGCTACATCATCTGTCTTTGTTTATTTATTTGTTTTTTATTGTGAGACAGAATCTCACTGTCAGGTTGGGCTTAAATTTATGATCCTCCTGCCTCAGCCTCCCCGGGTGCTGGGATTACAGGAATGAATCACTATGTCTGGTTGTCTTTTTCTTATTTTGACACAGGGGCTCACTGTGGCCCCGGCTGGTCTCTATTTGTGAGCTCAAGTTATTCTTCTGCCTGAGCCCTGATTGCTGGGACTACAGGTAAATGTCACCATCCTGGCTGGGACCTTTATCTCACTCTACATTATGAATTTTCTTTTTAGGAAGCAATTCACATACAAGGACATTCACCTTTTGGAGGCTACTTTAGTGGCTTTTATTATAGTTTCTAGGTTGTGCAAACATTGCTGTGATCTAATCCAGGACATTACCATCCACTACAGCAAAAAAAAAAAAAAAAAAAAAAAAAAGGAGAGAGAGAGACCCTGTTCCCATTTGCAGTTATTTCCCAGCTCTTAACAACCACTGATCTGCTTTCTGTTTCTATAGATTTTTATTTTTATGTTTTGGTACCGGGAATCGAAATCGGGTCCTTGTGCTTGCAAGGCAGGCCACCGAACCACTGAGCTAAATCCCTGGCTCAAAACTTTCTTTTCAATGAACTAAAAGGGCTTAATGATATAAATAAAATAAATTAGCATATACGTGAAATATTTTTGAATCCGTGGAATATATAATTTGGGGAATTATTAGAACTTTTCCTTACTTCCTATTTCTCTATCTTCTTTTTTTTTTCATGTGTTCTTTAACATTTAATAGAAACTATGTACAATAAAATTTGATTGCATTTTACTTAAGATAAGCACTGCAGAAATTTGCATAGCTTAGAAGGAAGATAGATAGTTAAGGAGGGCGCAGTCCTGTGGGCTATTTTCTCAGAGCATAAAAGTCAGAGTTCAGTTGGGGAAAAGTGTTCAGATTAAGTGGATGTTAAAAAAAGTCAGGGGCTGGGGATTTATCCACTGGTCGTTTGATGGCCGTTTGGGCTGTTTCCAAGATTTAGCTATTCCAAACTGTGCCACTCGAAACACGGTGTGCATACATTGGTGTGGAGTGATGCTTTTCACTCTTTTGGGGCGATACCAAGAAGGGGAACAGCTGGGTCAAATGGAACCTCTAGTTTTAATTTTTGAGACCTCTTCACACTGATTTCCACAGTGGTTGCCCCTCAGTTGTATTTTAGTGTCTATCTCTACTTCGTTCACTTACATGGCTGAATAACATCCCATCATGTGGATGTACCAGTCTCATCCCTTGATCAGTTTGGAGTTTCGCTCTTTGGTTATTACGAACAATGATGCCGTGAACACGAATGTAGTTTCTGCGCAATGTACTTTCAGTTTCGTCGGGGGTATACCCGGGGTGAGGATGCTCAGTCTGCTAAATGTGTGCTTAACTTTTCTTTGAGGAACTGCCAAATTGTTGTCCAGAACGGTGGCGCTATTTTTACATTGCCACCAACAGTGTATGAAGGCTCTCGTTTCCTGCCAGCATTTGCCATTCTATGACTTAAAAAAAAAAATGTTAGTCATCTTAGTAGTTGTGAGATGCTGTCTTGTGTGTTTTTTTTGTACCCGGGGATTGAACTCTGGTCCTTGCGCTTGCGAGGCAGGTGGCAGCACCACTGAGCTAAATCCCCGGTCCTATCCATTTATTTATTTGCAGTACTGGGAATTGAACTCAGGGCCTTTGTACTGAGCTACATCCCTAGCCTTTTTATTTAAAAAAA